TTCTAGGACGCATAATAAGGAAAGAGGGCTTGGAAAATTTGATACTCACAGGGACATCAAAATCAAGAGGGGCAGCGGAAAGCATCGAGCAACTTGGTTAACGAGCTTGTGCAAATGGACGGCAGCATAGGGATTTAAAGCGATAGCAAGAAGTCAAAACTTACTAAGAGTTAAAAATGATAGGAGATTGTGGAGAGCCATGATCGCGTAAGTCAATGAAGGAGCGAAGCATATAGAAATAGAAGGTAAAGATTACTCTCGCTACTATGGGCATGCTTATACATCTTTACAAAACTGCTATCGACACATATATATATATATATATATATATATATATATATACACTTTCGAGACAGCTCAAAATATTAGTCTCTAGTCAGTTACCTCTGATTTTTGAGCGGGGAACTCATTCAATTATGAAATGCTTTATATATATGCCGACACTTGACTTGTTTCTCAACATCATCCATTATCAAACCAAGGCATTTATAGGGAACTTTCAATAAAAATCCGCTCGTCTAAAGTAAACTGGGGCTTGACAATTTGAAACGTTAAAGTCAAACGATGTCATATTTATTTAAACTGAAACCCGCTAATGTTCAACAAAATAGTTCATCTTTCTAAATATTTATTCAGTTCCCTTAAGGAAGAAGAATATTAAAAAATATGCTATTTTCGCAACTAGTGAATATTTATGTTTCAAACAAAGAATCCCTCGTAGGTTTATTAAGTCCAGATTACAATACAGAAAATTGAAGACGTCTGGCCATAATTTCACATGGATATCACGCATGGCACCCAACCCCCTTTCAGAAATATCTAAACTGTCAGCTTTATAGAACCACTTTTTGAGATAAATGGCTAAAAATGGATTTGAGTCCTGGGTATGACGATAAACTACATCCGGCAACAAGACGTCTGATCGGGAGATTGAAGGTTTTGAGGAGCGTGAAGCCACCACTTCCTTGATGTTGTTCTCAGGTCCATCCTGACCCGGGGTGGTAGCACCTGTTAGGGTCCAAGCTATGGGCAAATAGTGACCCCCCCCCAAATAAAAACAAAACACTATGAAATGATAAAAATAGATTTTCATAGAAAAATTAACAGCAATAGATTTTCATATGAAAAATTACAGACAATACCTATTTATATATATAAAAAAAATTACCAATTAATACAAAATTGCTATCAATAATATTTATAGCAAAACTACTGATACTAGCTATTTATAGTATATATTTAGTTGAAGCCATAAAATTGTGTTCAAAATGTTTAGATTTTGGAATTAAATAACCCATAGAGATGTCGATATGCCGCTAAACAAAATCAAACAGCCAACATGAAAGAACTCTTTCATGACATTAATCCATATAATATCCTAATCCATTAATCCATATAATATCCAACAATTTCTTAAAGGAATCAAACTGTATTCGAAAATATAACTTCAACAAAACTACAACATAAAACACACATGTCACTGCCTCTTGTAATTATGTTCGCACAAACATATATATGCATGAAAGCTGAGTATCATCTACCATGTATTCAATTGTGAAAGCAGAATAACATATATAATAATTTGATTACTTCAAAGCTCCCCCCCATCAAAAAAAATTTTGGCATTAAATGACCCATAAGGAGTTGATGTACCGTTAAACAAATCAAATCTAATCAAAAATGGCTTTGAGCGTGTGAAGCCTATGGGTCTTGGCGAAAACCATATTTCTTCGAACCTTCTGGGCTGGCGCTACAGAATCACAAAGAACTGAACCAAATAATAGAAATTACGTCACTTGAGGACTTTCAACAGCGGCAACAACTAAAATGGATATCACATGTAACTGAAGGAATAAATAATGATATAATCAAGATGTCGAAGTTCCACACTACTCCACACGTTCCACACTACTTCCACATTACCCCAAAGTGAGGAAGAAAACTCCCATTAATATTGGAAAAGTGATAACAGTGAACTTGAAAGACCTATTTCCCTGAAAAACGGTTTTGAGAGAAAATGTTATAAATTTCAACCAAGAGGAGTACTGGCTGCTTGGTCAATGAATGTTTCCTTATAAGGAAACGGTTTTTATTACCATTAGAGTTAAATGGTTTATAAGATAGTTCTCAGTAGTCAATAGAATATTAATTTTCATTTTTGAAGCTTCCTTACAATGTGTGTTTTTTTTTCTAGTCTAAGATGAATGACCAACTCTAACAAGTTCAACAATAAAATACAAAAGTCAGGTGAAAAATAAACTAGTAAAATATTAATAATTTACAATTCATTATACAAGTAATTCAGATATTTTACTCCTACTTCTACTACTACTACTACTACAACAAAGTTTTAATAAATAAAATCCGAATAATAATAAACTGCCTCTTTAGTTTTATTCTGCTGTAACAGAGAAAGATAAATAAGCGCTAATAATAAAATGAACGAAAATCTAGTAAAATTATTCGATGCGTTCGAATAGCGAAACTTGGCAAGCCAGGTTCAATTTCTGGTCTCGTCTGTTAGGTCCAACGTTTAAGATGCACATCAAATGGCTCCTCTATAAACCCAAAAGGCATTCAGAATCCATCAAGTTTATCAGTTCCTGTGGTTTAAATAGCAGGGTAGACGGGGCTCTTTAGCTTTGGATGGAAGACAGAAAACACGAAAATCGGGACCGAGAAGCCATCGGAACCCCACTCCTACATATCCGCTAAATGAGGCTGTGTAATGGTTAATGTTGATAAGTTTGTCTCATCGATGAGAACAATTATGTCTGAGTAGTAATTGTTCGATTCTTGCTGGGTGCACCAAATACCAAAAACAATCCTACTTTCGGTCACATCAAAGCCACGCTTGGAAAATCACTATAACCCCAAAATTCATTCAGTTATCAGATGATAAAAAAACATGGTCGACTATTTCTTGAAAGGACTTAGCACTGAAAGAAAAGCTGCCTCAGCTTAAAAAAGGGGTTCTGCTTAAATTTTGATTGTCCACTAATAAAAGACAATCCTTCAGTTCAAAAAATAATCAGACAAATTCAGATTATTACGCCTACAACTAATAGGTTTGAAACATATGTAAACTATTACGCCTACAACTAATAGGTTTGAAACATATGTAAACTATTCTCAAAAATTCCTATAGGGGTTTGAAGCTTTTGATTAGAAAGTTTATTTTTTTAATTTTTTTTTTTTTGATTTACATTCACTCTCATTCAATACGCAGTAGAGTACATATTCGTAGCCAGGATTTCAAATCGGGATGTGGGCCAACTTATCTACTTCGAGGTCAAAGATCATATTTAAAATAAGAAGACATCGAGTTTCAGATTTCATTGACTCAACATTTACATTTATTTTCTCTTAATTATGCACCAATCGAGAAAGTGTCTTTAAACGAAAGTAAAATGCTAGATTAAATTACAAAAGGGAGTTGATATGCCGACTTGGTAAAACAGACGACGAGACTTTCAAGGTGAGAAATAATGGGTGACAGTAAATGCATCAGCCTTCAGTACCTTGCAAAGGAAAAAATATATATAGGCATATTGACATTATATATATATATATATATATATATATGAAGAAATATACTTTAAAGGTGTGATATTTATGGGATAAAGTGCTCAATATGAAAGACAGTATCTAAATATAAAAGGTTATTGCGTCTAGCATGAAACTGCCTGTCGACTCTCAGTGTTGACTTTAATGTTCATTTATATATATATATATATATATATATATATATATATATATATATATATATATATATATATATATATATATATATATATATATATATGAAGAAATACAGTATTAAGGTGTGCTATAATTATGGGATAAAGTGCTCAATATCAGAGATAGAGCGTATATAAATGTAAATATGAAAGTGACATTAAAGTCAACACTCAGAAGCGACTGGCTTTTTTCATGCTGGAATCGTCAGGCATGACAACCCGTCGCCTTATAAACTGTCACTTTATATATATATATATATATATATATATATATATATATATATATATATATATATATATATATATATACGCTGGTCTTATTATCATCTATCCTAAATTGCATGGACTATCTATCTATTCATCTCAAATCTGTTCCTGTTCATCTATCTATCTATCTATCTATCTATCTATCTATCATCTATCATCTATCTATCTATCTATCTCAATCTGTTCATTGTCTATCTATCTATTCATTCATCTATCTATCTAATCTGTTCTATCTATCTATTCATATCATTCATCTATCTATCTATCTATCTATCTATCTATTATCTCTATCTCTCTTCTCTATATCTCTCTCTCTCTCTCTCTCTCTATCTATATATATATATATATATATATATATATATATATATATATATACTGTTCTAGTTCCAGGTGCCATGTTTAATGAATATCAGTTATCAGTTATCTCCTGGTAATTCTCCTCTCCAAGGTTTACCACCGCCCCTAACCAGGTATCGAACTCATACCTGTCACTGGATCTAACTAACGCCTTTATCCACTGTGCCATGTGTTTTGTGAGCGAAATAAAGGGTTCAGTTCGACATTCCAACCACCTGAAGAAGGCGGGGCGTACAACGGCCGAAACGTTGTAATAAATATGACGACAAAGATGAGGACAATAGTCCGAATAATGTAAATAGTTTACATAATACCTCATCTCAGAAATATAGACAGATACTGTAGGGCCGAAACGTTGTAATAAATATGGCGACAAAGATGAGGACAATAGTCCGAATAATGTAAATAGTATACATAATACCTCATCTCAGAAATATAGACAGATACTGAAGGGCCGAAACGTTGTAATAAATATGACGACAAAGATGAGGACAATAGTCCGAATAATGTAAATAGTATACATAATACCTCATCTCAGAAATATAGACAGATACTGAAGGGCCTAAACGTTGTAATAAATATGGCAACAAAGATGAGGATAATAGTCCGAATAATGTAAATAGTGTACATAATACATCATCTCAGAAATATAGACAGATACTGAAAGGCCGAAACGTTGTAATAAATATGGCAACAAAGATGAGGATAATAGTCCGAATAATATAAATAATGTAAAGAAAGAAAAGTTAAAAAAGAAAGATGATAAGAAAGAAAGAAAGAAAGAAAGAAAGAAAGAAAGAAAGAAAGAAAGGATGAGAATGAGAAAAGAAGGAAGGAAGGAAGGAAGGAAGGAAGGAAGGAAGGAAAAGATAGAGAAAGAAAGATGATGATGATAAAGAAAGAAGATGAGAAAGAAAGAAAGAAAGAAAGAAAGAAAGAAAGAATGAGAAAGAAAGGAAGGAAAAGATAAAGAAAGAAAGATGATGATGAGAAAGAAAGAAGATGAGAAAGAAAGAAAGAAAGAAAGAAAGAATGAGAATGAGGAAGGAAGGAAGGAAGGAAGGAAGGAAGGAAGGAAGGAAGGAAAAGATAAAGAAAGAAGATGAGAAAAAAAGAAAGAAGATGAGAAAGAAAGAAGATCAGAAAGAAAGATGAGAAAGAAAGAAAAAAGATGAGAAATAAGAAAGAAAGAAGGAGAGGGGAGAACTAATTGAATCTGAGAAAACAAGTAACCCTCTCCCCTACCCCCGGGAAAAGGGTGGGGGCAAAACCAATTCATTCAAAGAAAAAGGAACGTTGACAACGTCAGATACGTTTCTTAAATTTCTTTCAAATATTGAATCTATCTATAGAGGGGAAGGAAAGAAAAGAAAAAGGTGTAAAGAGAGACAGAAAATAAAAGAGAGAAAAAAAATGGGACTATCGCAGCAAAAGACAAAAGTGTTGAATATTTGCTGCAAGGGAGAAATATAGGAAAGAAACTAGGAGATAGATAGATAGATAGATAGATAGATAGATAGATAGATAGATAGATAGATAGATAGAAAGCAGACTGAAATAGATAGATAGATAGATAGATAGATAGATAGATAGATAGATAGATAAGAAGTTACTGACAGATAGATATGAATAAACTAAGTTAGATAGATAGATAGATAGATAGATAGATAGATAGATAGATAGATAGATATGAACATTCTGTGCTAAAACCGAACAGAGTTATATATAAGTAAAAGGCAAAATGTGAATGGAGAGATATATGAGAGAGACAGTTTAGTGAGGCTGATCATCTATTCGAAAATGTATTTTGTAAGCGAAATGAGATTGTTGTGTGGGAAGGGATGATTTTCTCCGCCCTAGGAACGTCTGAAAATACCTGTATGGAATTCGACTTATTGACGTAAGAATTATTTTTATGTACAAAGTAAACAAAGGGAAAAAGAAAGATAAATGTGAACGAAAGAAAATAAGAAGAAGAAAGGACAAGAATAATTTCTAAACTGTGCGGACACAAACTGACTACCGAAATAAAAAGAAAGAAAGAAAGAAAGAAAGAAAGAAAGAAAGAAAGAAAGAAAGAAAAATTAAGAAAGAGAGAAAGAAAGAAAGAATTACGTAGAAGCAAAATTTTAAAGTGTATTTTGAAGAAAAAGACCAAAAAGAATGAAAACGCTAAGTAAAAAAAGAAAGAAAGAAATAAAGAAAGAGAGAATGAAAGAAAGAAAGAATTACGTAGAAGCAAAATATTAAAGTGTGTTTTGAAGAAAAACACAAAAAAGAAAGAAAACGCTAAGTAAAACAAGAAAGAAAGAAAAAAGAAAGAAAGAAGGAAAGAAAGAATGAAATGAAGTAAAATATGTTTTAAAGTCTTCACAAATTACGCAAAAAGAACGAAAAAAAGAAAACAACGACAGAGAGAAAGAAAGAAGAAAGAAAGGGATCGAAGAAAAAGATTTGATGAAAGAACACAAAGAAAGAAAGAAAGAAAGAAAGAAAGAAAGAAAGAAAAAAAGAAAGACAGACAGATGAGATGAAAAAAAAAAACAAAAGAAAAATGTAAAACAAACAAGTAGGAAAAATAACACAAGTGGAAAACTTAAAAGATGCTGTGAAAAAAAAAAAAAGATAACATGGACATCACCGCCCCAACTGGCAGAAAAATAAGGAAAAAAAAGCCGGACCTGAAGAAAAAAAATTATACAGTTGCTAGCGATTGAAAATAAATGAAAAGAGAGTGTGAGAAAGAGAGAAAGAGAAGGCAAGAAAGAGGAAGAAGAAGAGTTAGAAACAT